GAAACGGTTATCAGGAAGCATCTGACACATGGTAAATCCACTACGACTTTTAACTTGGTATATACATTTGTCAGTCTGCCTTCAGCTGTAATGTTTGTATTGTGCGTATCCTAGTGCTTTACACACTGATGGTAGACTGCACAAGCAAATGCGGTCACCATGGTGTGCTCATTAATAGCCTATGGCTGGGATTTTCAGTGAGCCCAAGTAATTTAGGAGCACAAGTGGCACTGCACGTGTGAGGCAACCAGACCTGCACCGAGACTCCCTCTGCCTCGCTACTCTCCCACCATGTGCCAGGAACATCTGAGCAACTGGAGCACAGAGATACCAGCTGAGACTGAGAAGACCGCGCTGCTCGTTCTGATCTTGCAAAGCAGCTGAAGATGGACCAAAGCTTTAACTGTCAGCTGTACTGCTGCTTGTAAGCCATGTAGCAACATCCACTATTAACTGTTATCGAAGCCAAGCGCCTTGGAAATGTCTGGGAAAAAAAGGTGAATTACACAGCTTTAATATCAACTCTTGCCTTTATTTTCTTTCCACCCATTTTTTTTTTCACCGGGGACTTGGAACAGCTTCAGTCAAAGGAACCTTTGTGAGGCTGATCTTGGATACCTGTTGAACAGCAAGTGGTTAGCACAGCAGGAGAGCAGGGTTTCCCCCAGGATTTTAGCCTTCGTTTGGAAATACAGGAGAGGACTCATTAACAAAAACCACACACAGATTGTCCACGTTTCCTTGACACTGAGCCAGAATACTGGACATCATTAAAAAGGTACAATATTCGGATTTGTCAATTAATCACATAACAGAAAACACATGAATGAAAACACTCTTTTACGGGACTATTGCTCTTACACCTAGATGAAGTGTTGACTACAAATGGAAACATGTAGCTTATTAATGAGAGAGAGTGTGTTCTTACTGAGACCGTACCGAGGAAAAACAATCAAGACCTGAAATATACTGTGCTTGAATTCACCTTTAGGTTTTGAAATGTGATGTGGGAGACCCAGCGTGCAGGGTGCAGTTACAGGATGCTTATTTGCCTGTGACAAAATATACAGAATTTATACATGGAATAGTCCTGAGGTTGCATGCAGCTCTTAAATAAACTGCAGTGTTTTTTCACTTGTTAAATTGTGTACTGAAAAATAATTCTCTCTCTATATTCATTATAGTGCACATAAGGGACTGGGTGTGAGATGGCCTCTGAAAAAGGAACATATAAAATCTTTTACAGCAGCTATTTGGGTGTTAACTTCATACAGTATGTGTAATAAACAGAGTAGCTTTGTTTCAGTGTTAGGCCATTACCTATAGTCTGGTCAGACAGAATCTAATGTATATTCAGGAGTGTGGTCAAACCATGTCGACTCAAGAATACAAATAGATAGGAATGTAAAAAAAAAAAAAAAAA